TAAATCTATTTATACCGTCATTTAAATAAATTTCTCTTTCCAAATCGTTTGCAAAATAATCTTTTGTAATTGTATGTCTTATCTCAAAAGTGGGCATACCGCAACCAGGTTTTAAGCTAAAATTATTTACTTGAAATTTTTTTTTTAATAAAAATGTATAATATATTAAATAGTAAATCTAATGAATTTTATTTATACATCGTCGTCAGCGTGCCAGATTTTTTTGCGCTAAAATGCCAAGTGCTTGTGTAAAAAATGCCAAACTTTTATCAGTATTGACAAAAAAATGCGAACCTTTAAAACAGTAGAAAACTTTATAAAAAAACATTGAACCTCTTTTATAAACTATGTATTCAATAAAATTAGTTTATAAATCATATATTAATTAGTTTTAACATTTTTTAATAAAAAAAACGACGTTTAACAAGTTATTTATGTATTTCTTAAATAGATAAGTTATAGATAATATTCCTTCAACTTTCAATTTAATATAAGTCTAATGTTTAAAAAGATGAGCTAAAGAAAATTTCAGATCAAAATATGTGAAAAAAATAAAAAAAGGCCAAAATATTGCCAAAATGTCAAAAAATGCCAACATGTTTAAACAATGCCAATTTTACTAAATTTGGGATTAAAATATGCCAGTTGCCAACCCTGATCGTCGTATAAAAAGAATATCACTTTGAGATTAAACTACTCTTTTAAATTACATATAAATTACTGAAATAATACATTTATAATACTTTATAAATAAATTTAAGTTACTATATAAATACTTATAATACAATATAAATGCAATTTTTATTTAATTATCACTTTATGCATTATTTAAGTATGTATTTGTTTATTAACTCATCTATTAAATATTTATAGCGTTAAAAAACATCTCCACAGAATATGTTAAATGTTTGTGTTTTGATTTATATGTAGTTTTTTCTTAATTTAATTATGAAGTCAGCAACTTTTTTGATAAAAAATATTTCCCAATACTAATAACGTCATTAAAAAAATTACCATGAAATGTTAGACAAGAAATAAAAAAAGGAATCCAATCATTTTTTGAATATTGGAAAATGGTTATCATTGTTTAGCGGTGCATACGACGATCACTTGCTCTTTTTCTAAGTTATTTTTCTTTAAATCTAAAACTGCTACTCTTGAATTTAAAGAATCAGTTCTGAAGGTAGCATGGAGTCATTCTGATGAGGAAGCAAAAAAGGTTGCTGCATGCATTGAATATGAATTTGATTTAGTTGCTGCTGAGGCTAAATACCATAATACCTGTTATAATTCTTTCTTGAGACCAACCAATGAGTGTAAAATCAGTCGTCCTCAAGATGAATCTACAAATGTTACAATGGAAAAAAATATTTAAATAATTTGAAAACAGCAATGATTGCCAGTTTTCATTAGAAGAATTAACAAATATTTGCAAAAATCCACATTTAAATAACAGAACAATTAAGACACGATTAAAGTTGAAGTTCGAAGTTCGGTATTAATCATTATCACCGAAAAACCTAAAAAAAATTTTAAATAGTCATAGCGATATTCTTACCCAAGCTTAGCATGAGAAAAAAAGCTAAAATAAAGAAGAAGGACTTTGAATTTAAAAAGCTGCGCGGAAATCATTCAAGAAGACATTTAATCATTAGTATTTGATAATACCAATTATCCCTCGCCTAGTCAAATGTTTGAACATATTAACAACGATATTCCAGAGTCATTGACTTATTTTTTAGAGTTATTTTGAAAAATAATCTAAATTAGAACATTTAAAAATCGTGTGTACAAGCGAATACTACCGCATTATGTCTGCTTTTAGGCCTGGGTCTTTTAAATCAAAATTGCAATTGGGTCTTTCAGTATACACGACTTTACTTAGTGCTTTAGAAAATGCGAAACATGTCCACGAAGTATGCATTGTTACTTTCGATCAACCTCTGTATGCAAAAGCTCGAAAAAATGTATCTGCAACACCTGATGAATTTGAATTATTAAAGATCACAATAAGACTCGGAGGATTTCATTTACTAATGTCATTTTTTGGATCAATTGGTTATATTATGCAAGGAAGTGACATACAAGAGGCACTTTGTTAATTTATGCACCTAAGTTGTTAGAAAAAATGCTTTTTGGCCATGCTTACGCTGTTAGAGCTCATACATTACTTCAGCTCACTTTACCTTTAATAATTTCAAATCTTGATATTAGCATTAAAAATGTCATAAACAACAATGTTTCATATAGTGGTATTGAAAGTGGCGTTGATTATGAAATGCACAATGCACTACTTTATAAGTTTAATCAAAAACTAAAAAGAATTTGACAAAACGAGGACCTACTTGAAAACTATGGATACAATATCTTAATATGGTGTCGATTTCATAAGAGTTTATCAGAGCTGAACTCATGGGAGATTGGCAAGGTTATTTGAACAGGATTAAAAAAACGCTAATTTCCACACATTGGGACATTTTCCTTATGCTAAGTCTGCGCACTTATATCTACAGGATACGCTATAATCAAATTGTTTATCAACGGTTTATTGAAGGAATTTTCACTGTTAAACGCTAGAATCAAATTGTTTATCAACGGTTTATTGAAGGAATTTTCACTGTTAAACGATCTGACAAACTCAATTGTAGTACTTTAACGGATACGGTAATTGAGCAATCAATGATGAAATCAATGAAGACAAAAGGAGGTATTTCTCAAGGAAAAAGTACAAAAGAGAGTGTTATAACTAAATGGATTAATGGCATGCATGCAATGAACACTGTATGTGAAAGATTGCAGATATTAGAACGTCTGCAACAGATCAGCATGTAGATGCAAGTGATTCACAAATAAAGAAAGATGGTAAAGATATTGAAAAACTTCAGCAGTGGTTTTTATTACATGATCCTTTTCCTAAAATTAAAAAAATCATTTTAATTGCTAGTGGAATGGTTGGTGATAATAAAATCAACTGTCATAAAGCTCGTGAAGTTGGGATTGCTTATCTGTCTAAAATGATGGTGAAACATTTAATATCAAATTAACACACGCTGATAAAGTTCTTCCTTTTCTAACCATGAGTAACACCATAAAAGTTCATGACGAGAAAGTACCTGTAGATCCAGTATTACTATTTTAACGTATGAGTATTACTAAGACATTAGAGGATAAATAAAAAATTTTTTTGAGTATGAATTAGCCCCCTATCCTTTATCAATGTTTGATGAAACTGAAATGCGTAAAACACAGAAAACAGCTATTTACAATTGTTTTGAATCATTAGAAATTGAAATTGACAACACAAATGCTAGTTACATAATCGATGAAAGGTATTTATTACACCGCGTTGTGTCGGATCGATAAGTAACCTTTAATGTTACTTATTGACAAGAAATTTTAATATGGGCCATGTATGACATTTGTATGCTAACCATATGCTTACCACTCTCCTTAACCATATGCTTACCACTCTCCTGGGATAGCGTTGATGCGTCCCATATGTGGCTATAATGTTTATCCCACTAAAACCACACTAAATAAGAACAGACGCCACTCTTCATTTGTGCGTGAAAGTTATATGTGGCCCACGTGTGGGAAGAATATGTTAGCCACATATTATCCACTATCCTTTATGGATGCGTTGGCGCGTTTCATTTGTGGTTTTAACGTTTATCCCACTAAAAACACACTAAATAAGAGAAAGCCCCACACTTCGATTGCATGTGAAAGTCATATTTATTTTTAAGTCTATCAATTTTTGAATTATTATATCCTATCAGTTTGCCCTATATGTAACCATAAAAAATACTTTTTTTAAAAAAAAATTATTATAAGGTATTTAAGGAAAACAAATACACTCAATATACAAATATACTTAGTCGCAATATATTAACGCAGATTGTTAATGAAAACTATTTATAGTCACACGATCCAAAACTATAAGTTGATGTTTTAAAAACATTTTCGCTTGTGGGATTATAAAATCATAAACCGATAACTTTTAACTTTTTAAAGATCATTCAATTTATTTAAGAACGGGATTTAGAAGCAACTTAATTAAACTGGTAAGAATGTTCTCCGGTAGTTCATCATCAAAAAACTAACTTTATTAATTATTTACCTTTATTAAACCAAATAACTTTAATATGCAAAATATGAAAGTTGCAATTCCCGATTCTTGTTAATGTTGCAACTTATTTGGCTTTAGATAAATACTTATAAATAAAAAGCTCTGATATATATATTTTTTTAATTTTAAACCAAAGCATTTTTTTTCGGGGGATTTTTCCGGGGGTATTTTGTCTTAGAACCTACCTTTTTAATTTAAATTAATGCAGATAATATAAATCGCCTCGATTAAAATGTGTGTTTGTTTGTTTACCTATACGTACTTTTAGTGACGCATTACTAAACAATTTATATGCGGTTGAGGAAGTTTGCTAACATTACCCGCTATTTTAAAATATAACGTTGTTTAAGTATAACTATAAATTTGTATTCGTTAAGTATAACTCTGATTTACAAATTTTATATAAAATTTATTTAGAACAACAATTCTCTAATATATTCATTATAAAACCGCTCAAACATTTTCATTTATTTTTATAACAAAATTATAAACATTTACAGTTTTTTATAAATTTTATAATATATATTGTATACTTTTATATAAGCAGGGGCGTACCGAACGACGAAGACTTAGGGTGGGGGGGGGGGGGGAGGAAGGAGGTTTTTTTTTTTTTTTTAGAAGCCAAATATCAGTTCTAACCGACAATCCCAAATCTTCTAATTGTAAATCTGAGGGGGGTGGGGGGTGGAGGTCCACCCCAAACACATTTCTCTGGGTACGGCCCTGTGTATAGGTAATATAGTTTTAAATAATATTCTTTAAACAATATGCCGTTATATAATCTAAATCACACATAAAATCACATTATAAAAAAAAAATAGTTTTGTAATAATAACAAATTGTATATTACAATAAGTAAATATCTGGTAAGTACATGATTCCATAGCGTAAAGTTAGGTCCCGTAAAATGTTCCGCAATTGTCCCGCTTCACGTCCAGGACAGAGTTAACATAATTAATTTTTGCATTTATAATTTAATTTATGAAATAATTAATATTCTTTAAATGTGGAGCACGTTTTCACCTGGTTATCGTCGAAGATTAAATTTAAATTGGTAAAAAAATTATTAATATTATAGATAATAATAATTTAAATTTATTAGAAAAAAAAACATTGAGTAGAGGTTATACAAGACATTTTAACTTTTTTAGACAAAATATTTTAAATTTTGAATATAAAAAGCTTAAGTTGATGTTTGTTTTACTACTCGTTTAAAAACATTTCTCAGGAATGACATCCCTGAGAAATTTAAAAATTTAAAAACATTCCGAATGTTTTTAAACGAGTTATATAATATAAGCTTTTTATATTCATAATTTAAAATATTTTGTCTAAAAAGGAATTTCCTCTACAAGCACACTTTAAATGAAGTATCAATTTCCACGTTTGTATGGTTGTTACTGTTTAAATTTTTTTAGTTGTTATTTCTCAAGATGGAAGTTGGGTTACTGTAGAAACATACGTTGAAGTACTTTTTTTGATACATAGCTACGAAACAGAGGCTGTATCAAAGTTTTCATGCTTTAGTGGCACTATAGCATGATTCATGCTATAGTGTATCAAAGTTTTCATGCCATGAAAACTTTGATACAGCCTCTGTTTCGTAGCTATGTATCAAAAAAAGTACTTCAACATATGTTTCTACAGTAACCCAACTTCCTTCTTTCCTTTCTTTTAGCAGCACTATTAGTGCTGCTAAAAACTGGAAATATGGTATGACAATTTTAGTTAAGTGTTTTTAAAATGCAATTGCTAAATTTTAATTTTCTTTTATATTTGTATAGTTAGTATTTAAAATTTTTGTTGTTGTTGTTATCTTTAAAGATTCTTCTGCAAAACACCACAAAATAAGATGATTCAATATCATTTAATGGTACTCCCTTTATGGTTTTAGGATGTAAAGTGCTTGATTGTATGCACGGGAATGATAGAAAAGCCTCTTCTAAAGAATTTTATAAAATTCATTTATTATTATAATATGTTTTTCTTTTTCAATTTGTTTCTAAAGTAGCTCCTGTATTTAATGATTATATGTCTAAACCTTTTATTTTTATTCTTTTTTCTAATTTTCTTAATAGGTATCAGATCACAGTTTATCAAAAAGCTATTTGCTATATTTAAATTTCTTGGTCACCAAGAAATTTAACTGTAGTTTTCAAATAAAAATTTAGAAAATTTAAAAGTTCCCAAGTTTTAAGGTTTCATTTCATTGTTTGTTTAATTTATATTATTGAAATGAGATTTAAGTCAGTCCTATATTAACTATTCAAGACATAGATGCATCAACTTAAAATATAACCAATTAATTTATGCTAATTCTTTTTAAAATAAACTTTGTTTTAGATTGCTGAGGATACTAAATTTAGAAGAGTGCGATTCTCAAACCGTATTAAAGATGCTTTGTCAAGAATAAAGTAGTAAGGGAAAGAGTGTTTCCAGTTTGCTTTCCTTCAAAAAGTTCTCATACTGGTCATTTTACTAGAGATGTAAGATTTCTTTTTTCTTTTTTGTGTAGATAAAGTTAAACAATAGATTTTAAAAGAAAAAAAACATTAAAGAGTTATCCAAATTAATTTTCATTTCTTGTTTGCCTGTTTTAAACATCTTAAAGTTAGTTTATTATTTCAAACATGTTATTGAACTTGTTTTGTCATATAACATTTATTAAATTTTAACATTTATATTAATATGTTTTCATTTATTTAAACCAACAATAAGTTTATAGTAAATCTTAATTGCTATTTTTATTGCTGTTGTTTAGGAACTTTAGATTTAATATTGTTTAAAATATGTATAAACTTTCTTGTGTTCAGTATATATAGTATATCATATTTAGTATCTTGATCCAGATTACTTAAGGCCTTAAATTTAAATGCCTGCTCCTACTGATGGTTTTGTTATATACTCGGTATGTTCTTGTACTATTCCTAATATATGTAATATTGTTCATACAAACTTCAATATTTTCACCAGGGGTGGGTTTTGTCACTCACCAAGGAGGTGGCTAAAATGGTTTTTAAAAAAAAAGGTCCGCATTTTTTCATTTAAAAGTGACTTTCTTTAACTTTTTGTACTTTAATGTAATAATCAAGTTCATATATGTATAATTACCTATAATAGTCAATTACCTATAATAGTCAATCCTAATGGGGGGGCGGGGCAACTACCCCCATGCCCACTATAAAACTCGCCACTGATTTTCACAGTCTGCTGAAGACAAAAAAAGCAATCTCATTAAAATGTTTGAACTTATAAACAAACATGATATTATCAATTAGAACTGCGTTCCACAAGTATTGGGTAGGCTTACAGAGGCCACAATCAAAGGTTGAGAAGACATTTTGTTAAAAACTTTTTGTTGAGACCAATTTTTTTACAAACCATATACAGTGGGTTGCCAAATTATTTGGGAAACTTCACTTTTTAAGTAATTTTAAAGTTTAAATGATTTTTGCAAGCAAATAATTTTTTTTAAATAAAAAGTTTTGAGTGTATTTTAGTCACTAATATAACTATAGTTGTTTTTAAACTATGGCAATTTGTGATAACCCGATCTGTCAAAAAGTTAGGTTATTACTCAATTAGCTGTCAATTTTTGAAAAGTGTGGTTGAAAGTCAAAAATTCAAAATTGATTTCAGTTACTTATTTTTGGAACAATTTTTGCAAGTTTTTTGAGTTTAAAACTATTGAAACCTAAATATTCGTTAATAGTTCAATTAGTTTAGTTATTAATTTAGTATTTTTGCTACTTTTAATGCATAAATCCCTGATATATCTTACCTCTCGTTAATTTTTTTAGTCTCCAGACTTTACCCCAAAAAAAAACAGAAAAGTAAAAACCTTACTTCTTCATTCTACACATTCTCAGAGAGAGGTTGCAAGCGTTTCAAAGTCAGTAGTGAGTCGAATTTAAAAAAAAAATGGTACAAATGTGACTCTAGAACCAGACCATGTCAGCAAAAGTGGCAGTAAAGGATCACTACTCCATGTTATGACCGTAAATTTAAAGACATCTGTCTTAAAAACAGAAAAAAAAGTGTGGCTCAACTAGCTATAATTATAAACAATGAAGGAATTAACGTCTCCAAAAGGACGGTTCGGGACGGTTGGTTGAAGAGAATTTAGTGTGCTATCGTCCAACCAAAAAAAGAATGTTTAACTGAAGCCATGAAAAAAAAGCGACTGGAATGGGCTAGAAAACACCAGAATATGACTATTGAAGACTGGAGTAGAGTAAATATAATTTATAATATTGTAAGAAACCAGAAAAATTTAAGGATAAATATTTATTTTTGAAATATCTTTGATATATTTTGCAGGTCAAATATCTTTAAAATGTTTTACAGGTCTGCTTCTTGGGCCAATCAGCATTTCAAATTTTGATGGACAAAAGCTCATTTGTTCGACGATGCCCAGAAAAAAATTTCACTGGGACTGCCTTTTGGAAAAGGTTCAACATCCTGTGAGTGTAGGGGTGTGGTCTGTGATCTCAGCCAAGGGTATGGGCTGCCTTAACATTGTGGATGGAACCATGAAGCAGGATTGGTCCTGCCATATGGTTCCTTCTTACAAGCGATTACTGGAAAACAGGCTCCTGCTCCAGGTCTAAGAATGGTTCCCTGGTAATGAAGAGTATATGTTCATGCATGACTCTGCACCGTCCCATAAAGCTAGAAGTGTTACAGCATTTCTAACTGAAAAAAAAGTGCATGTTTTGCCATGGCCAGGGAATTCACCTGATATTAACCCTATAGAAAATTTATGACAGTTCATAAAACAGAAAATTGCCAAAAAAAATTATCACTACCAAGCAGCAATTGATAGAAACCCTTATAAGAGAGTGGAATAGCAACCTCAGTCTCCAACACAATGCAGAAGTCTACATAGATAGCATGCCCAGATGCCTAAAAGCTGTTATTGTAGCTAATGGTGGCATTACAAAATATTAAGATTATTACCTTATTTGTCATGTTTTCAAACTTTTCATAAAAAAATAAATAGCAATGAATAAGTAATAATGTTGTTTTATATTATAAATAAAACTCTCTACCAATAAAAACAATTAAAAAAATAACAATAAGATACATATTTATTCATTAAAGTAGTTTGTACTTTAAAATTACTTAAAAAGTAAAGTGTCCCTAATAATTTGGCAACCCGCTGTAGTTAAAAAGTGTAATTGTTTGCATAGAAAAGTTGTCAATGGCATTTCAGTAATTGATTTCAAGAAAAAGTTTAAAGAATTTAGCTTTGATGAATTCGTTGATGATTTTTCAAGATTTTTTTTTTTGTATTACTTTGTTGTGATATCTTTCTACCATTAGCACCTATCTACCTTTTGATATCCATCTATCTTTATTTGGTATGTCAGCTTTTATACAATTCTGGCCTTCTTAAAAGTGATGATAAAATGCAAAGAAGATTAGAGATCATTGCCTTAAAAGAAATATTTCAAAATAATGTGTGTCCAATAAGATCAAATAAAAAGTTTTTCCTATCAAATAAAATTATTTGTATTCATATGCTTTTGGTGTCTAATTATATAAGTTGTACACCAAATAAGTCTTGTGTGTTCTTTTAACAAGTGGCTGCAAATGTTTATTATGTATTTCATTCAGAGTTGACACATTTTTGTTATTTTAAATTTGTTTATAATGTATTTGTTACATTCAGAGTTGACACAATTTTGTTATTTTAAATTTTTTTATAATGTATTTGTTACATTCAGAGTTGACACATTTTTGTTATTTTAAATTTGTTTATAATTTATTTGTTACATTCAGAGTTGACACATTTTTGTTATTTTAAATTTGTTTATAATGTATTTGTTACATTCAGAGTTGACACATTTTTGTTATTTTAAATTTGTTTATAATTTATTTGTTGCATTCAGAGTTGACACATTTTTGTTATTTTAAATTTGTTTATAATTTATTTGTTACATTCAGAGTTGACACATTTTTGTTATTTTAAATTTGTTTATAATGTATTTGTTACATTCAGAGTTGACACATTTTTGTTATTTTAAAGTTCTAATAACTGTTAAGTTATTAGAAAATAAAGAATAGAGTTAAAGAGTTACAATTCGGTTGACACAAGACTTGAAAATTTGTAGGCTGTATAAGTTAGAAAAACATGATTACGGGAGAAAGTTCCAAAGGGTTCAATTAAGGGGAAAAAACTAAACAAATAAAATTTTTTATGGCATACAGGGACAGATACAGTAAAGAGGTGAGACTTTGCTAAATGACGAGTCAAGCAAAAATGAGTTTATAGAACTAGAGGTGAAAGCTCCTTTAAGTAGGGACCATGTTAGTATTTGTAGAATAGAGATGCAACTTGACGACGTTGAAAGAGAGGCTCTAGCTTGACAGATAGAGCAGGTACACTACACAACTACATTTACAATGCATATTTGGACCTTATCTTGAGAAATAAGAGCATCATTGGAAGAACCAGTCTAAATATGACAACATTATTCCAAATAGGGGCAAAAAAGAGGTTAGCAGAGGTAGAAATGAAATCGGGAGTAAGAAAATGGCAAGCACGATAAAAAAAAGCAACTTTAGCAGCTGCTTTTTTTTTTTGCATTTGCATTTAGCAATCAATTGTATATATGGTTTCCATGAAGGGTCATAAGTGAATGATAATCCGAGAAGAGGACTCAGTGAAGGGCTTGCTATTTATCAATATAGGAATGTCAACAGTATTGCTATTTGTATAATATAGTTATTTGTAGTAAATAACTAAGTTTGGTTGAAGTTAAAATTCACAAGCCATGCAAGCCTCAATCTGTTACAGAGGTTAGATCAGATTCAAGATTGAATTTTTGTCATGGCAGTAGTATAAAGTTAAGTCACCAGCAAATAAAGCCACTTTATATGTAAGGTTGCCAGGAAGATCACTAATATAGATTAGAAACAAAACAGGATTAAGGATAAAATCTTGAGATACCGCTGAAGTTACTAGATATGAAGAAGAGTGTTGGCATTTAAGGGTGACTTTAAATAAGTGGTTCAAATATTTATGATTTTTATAAAAACTGGAGTATATAATTGTATTATCAGCAAATTGAGCAATTAAACCACTTAAGAGGTAAGATTATCACATAAGATCAATACATTAATATAGAAAAAAACTCCCTTTGGTGTGACCTATATGGACAATATTAGGAGATAACGAGAAAGAGTTTCAAATTAAGGCTTTTTTTAAATTGTTTTTATTGTAGGCTTATTCTCACTCTCTTTTTATTCGTAAGCCCTAATAAAACCTAATGGTCTGTTTTTGAGCACTATCAATGGGAATATTATCACTGTACAAAGTTATTGGCTTTTTTTTAGGATACTTATTACTTAAGTATAAAGACGTCCGAAACTTGTGTTGTTTAAAGAATCTTAATGTAAGTAAAGATGTTACTACAAAATGATAACAGTTTATGTGATTAGGAAATTATTTGTTTATTTAGTATAAGGTTTAAGTCTATAATATATTTTTTGAGTTATTGTTTTTTTTAAACTTATTTCCAAATAACTTTAAGTAAATTTTTATGTTATTGTCAGTTATTTATTATTTATATCTAATATAAGTAAGGAATTTTTGTTTTTAAAATGTTATTTTAATTTATGTGTTTTTAAATTCTTTTTACATCAATCGATCTTTTTAAATCAAAATGATTCAGTTTATTTTATATTTCTCTATATCTATATGTATGTTTTCTCTTAAGAAAAATAATTAGGAATAGGAAAATTAAAAAATATTCTTTATATATTTATATTTTATATAACATTAAAAAAGTATATTGTGTTTTATAGTTAGTATATATGTTTATAATGTTGTTTCCTTGATTTCAAAGTGGTGTGACTTGGCAAACTTGTAGAGCAATATTTGTCAACCTGTGTCTGTTGTTTAAAAATGATTAATAGGTAGTTTCATTACTAGGACTCACTGCTTTTATTTATTTACTAAAAGTCATTCAAGACATCATTTCGCTATAAATACATTTTGTTTATCATGAAATAAAAATATTTAACAACTACAATTCAGGTATCACAACAGCTTATCTCTATCAGGTACATTGATTTTCAAATCACGTATTTACTTATTCGTTACATTTTTTAACTTCAGATTTATCATATGGTGTATTTATTTGTTATAGAAGAACAAATCATTATAAATTTTTATGAATTTTTTAAAAATATCTGCTGGTTATTAGTCCAGTCAACATTTAAAGTTCAATGTTGCATATACCTTTTTTAAGTAGTTTCTAGGCTTTTTTAAATGCTTTTCTTATTCAAGTGGCTTTACAAGCAAGGTCTGCAAGTAAATTAGAGCTGAAAAGTTTTTCAGCTTTCAAGGAGAATTAATCTGTTTAATTTAATTTGTTTAAATAGGGTAGTTTAAAAAAATAAATGTTTGTTTTTCGTTTTTTACTTTTTCGGATTCTTAAGAACTAGGCAACTTAGAGAAGCAAGATTTGTTCTTTTTTTTAGTACAATTAGAAAGAGCTGAAGTGCTTTTTAGTCACTTCAAATCAATTGTTTGTTTGTTTTTTAAATAGAAGGATTAATAATAATAAAAATTTTTAGACAGTTGAACTGTTACTGATTTGAGTAAGTTTAATACTTTGTTTTATGTTTTATTGAATTTATTTTATATTAGATATATTTTATGTATTTAACATGGAAAGCTGACTGTAATTTGTTTGACAGGTAAGTTTATATACATAAATGTGCCTATATTTCAGTATATTTTATATTTCTCTATCTATATAAATATTATCTTAAATAAAAAAGAAAAAAAAAAAATTTGAATATATATATATACATACATACATACATACATACATACATACATACATACATACATACATTACTTTAGACTGACATTGCTTCTTTTTTTAAAAAAGGTTCTGCATTTATTATTTTTGTGCATTAAGATTGTGTCTGAAGGTAAAAATAACTTTGTGCATTGTAGTTTAAATTCTTTGTTAAATTAAAAATAATGTAAAAAAATTTTGTTTTATATTTTTAATATATTTTTATTGAACAACTTCTTTATATAAACTTATAAAAATATATGAATATCAATAAATCTTAATTTAAAATAAAAGTCTTTGATTAGAAAAGATCACAATTTGTAAAATTATTTTACGTTCATTTATTCATTTGTAACAGTAGTATAATCACTGGTAATGTGTTTAATGATAACAGATGTATAATATAAGGCTCGAAGATGTTTTTAGTGTAAATGGTAATAGGTGACTTGAAAAATTGTTGTCAAATGAAAGAGATAGATTTAGGCCTGATAAAATTAATTGTCGTTGAAATGTAAGAAATTCTGCTCGATGAACAGAAAACTTACTTGCCAGAATTCATTGTCAAGCGGTGTTGATGTCTATTAATTTGATTTTACATTAGACACTTTAGAATAAAGCAAGGTATGAATTTTACTATTTATAGTAACAATTAATAACAATTTCAATTTTAAATGATTTTAATTTTTTTTTTTTTTTTTTTTTTTTTTTTTTTTTTCCAAACATAATTTTGTTCTTTTTTTTTTAGTTGCCTTTATCATTACTTGATTATTTTGCTTACTGTTGAAACATGGTTTTAATTTTGTAAATTTAATATGATGTGAAATTTACTTTATTAATCATTAGTCAATAGTTAGAGAGAAGCTGAATCTTAATTAAGCAATGCTGGAAAATAACTTTTAATTCAGGTAAAAATAATTTTATTTATTGGTAGCATAAAATCAGTTACTGTTTTTTATTGCATATCTTTTTTACTTTTTTTAACATGCTGCATTTGAAACACTTCCTCTCTCTCTTAGATGAGACTTAAATGACAGTAAGTACAGGGAGAATTGATAAAACTCGTGTAATTACTGAGCTCTTGCGCATTTTTCAATACTACAATTGATAATGACCATTTATAAGATATATTTTACGAGTTGCTATTTAAAGATACAATTCTTTAAATTGTTCAACTATAGTTGTCCCTTGGTTGTTCAAATATTGTAATAAAGAAAATCTTTTTAGTTTCAAGTATTTTACTTTAGGGATTGTCCATATATTACATAATGCGAAATTAAACTTATAGACAAAAGATATATCTCAAAAATCGTGTTTCTCTCATAGCCAACTATAGTTGCATGTTCAAAAACTTTGCATAGCCAACTATATTTGCATAGCCAACTTATTTGCATAGCCAACTATAGTTGCATGTTCAAAAACGTTTGTTTTTCACAATTGTTAAACATCCTATCAAGGTAAAAAGTGAACACAAATAGTGTTTACTTTCTATTGTTCTTAATTAATTATCTTTAGATTTTTATTTCGAAAATTTACTGTTAAAGGTTGTGAGCATGTGTAACTTTATTTATTTTTATTTTTTTCCATAGTTTTTGATAAATATATCTGTCATTTAATATTAAATGTGCTTATATGTCTTATATAAAGTCATATTTGTTTATAGCTGTATATATGTTAATATTGAGTTGTTTCTATGTTTTCAAAGTGGTGTGGCTTGGTATTATGTTGAGCAAGTTTGATAACCTTGCCAGCCTAGAGGTGTACTTATAGCAGAGGTGTGACTTAGCAGCATTTAATGCTAGGCAGTGTTACTGCTTTAGAGCTAGGTTGTGTTGTCTAGCCTTTTTAAATTATTCTGAAAACACATAATAATGTCTGTTAATGTTTAGCGTAATGTGTATGAAAGAGTATGCAACCTAAATCTTTAAATCTAGCGTGCTTTAATGTCCTAAATTTGAAATAATTGAATAACTAATGTTGAATATAAAAACAAATATACCTTATTTAAAGTTTAATAAAAAGATAAATATAACTCTATAATATTTTTTTAATTTTGCCTTTTATATTTTGATTTAGTTATTTTCACTGGATTTTATTGCTATGTGTTATTGCTGTAATGTTACTGTTGTGATGTTTTGTGTTGATAGACAGCTTGGCTTACTTTCCCGTTGGCGTCTATTGTTAAAAATGAATCATAGGTAGTTTCATTATTGGAATTTACTGGTTTTATTTATTTACTAAAAACAAAGACAACATTTTGCTAAAAGTGCAATTTAAATCTTAGTTTGATTTTTTTTTTGTTAATCCTTTTGTACTTCAAAACAGACTTTATAGTTACATTTTTGATAAAAGTTTATATTAACTGCAATTAAAGTAACTATAAATAGGTAAATCGATTTTCAATTTTTATGAAATCGATTTACCAATTTATAGTTACTTATTTTAAAATTTGGTGTTTTTTTTGTAATTCCATTACTTTTTATTTTAGATTTACGTTATGACACATTTATAAGATTTATAAAAAAAACCTGATTTCCTTTTGTAACGGGTGGTTACTAAAAATCCGGACAAACTTTAACTGAATTTTAAATGCCACAAGCTAAATCTTTTTTATTCATGTTTATATCCATTTTATAGCTTATTTAATTCTCTATAAATTAATTTTTTTTTTTTAGATAATTAATTATAATTAAAAAAATAATGATGACCAAGCAAGAAGAGGTAAGAAAACGGATTTACGAGTTCTATTTGAATAATAAATTGCAAGGTCAAAAGTTCACAGTAGCTCACTTCAATGCTGAAAAAATCCCAAGAAGCACTATCTATGATATAATCAAACGTGTTGAGAATGATTCTGGGCACAAAAGAGTGCAAGGAAGTGGTCGTGTGGCCAAAATCATGACCCCTAAGAGGATCAAGCGCCTGAAAGCCATATTTGATAGCAGTGACCGAGTTTCGATGAGGCAAGCTGGTCGAAAATTTGGATGCAGTCATTCACATATCATTAAAACTCTTGCCAAGTACACTGACATCAAAGGTTATACAAAACAGGGTATACCTCATCGACAAGAGAACCAGAATGAGCGAATCAAAACTGGCATTTATCGTCTTTATCGCGTTTTTAAAGGAAAATCGGTCATCCTTGACGATGAGTCTTACTTCACGCTGTCACACTCAACAATTAATGGAAACAGCACCTACAACTCTAGCAACAGAGACAAGACTCCACCAAGTGTTAAATATCGCAAAAAGCGCAAGTTCGAACCCAAGGTGCTTGTCTGGCTGGCCGCTTCTGACAAAGGTGTTTCAAAACCATTTTTTATACCCAGCGGCCTTGCAGTCAATAAAGCCATCTATGAAATGAATTGTATAAGGAAAAGATTAGTGCCGTTCATCAACGCTTATCATGCCGATGGTAATTACATATTTTGGCAGGACCTGGCTTCATCGCTTTATGCCAAAACCGTGACCAGCTGCTACGAGACTCATAACATCAGTTTTATCAAAAAAGTTGACAATCCGCCAGCCGTACCGGCGTATCGCCCAATCGAAGACTTTTGGGCTATTTTGAAAGGCAAAGTGTATGAGAGTAACTGGCAAGCAAAAGACGTGAAACATCTACGAACCAGAATAAAGCTTTGCCTGAAAAAAATTGACCTTAACCTTGTATTTTCACTTTTTGGGTCAACTCGTGTTAGAGTTGGCCGAATCCGAAGAAACAGACTGG